TTCTCCTGACTGTGGAGAATTTGGGTTTCCCTGGTGAAGTTGACTTGTGTCTTGGATGCGGGAATGTTATCACTACCATTGCAGAGGCACGGACTGAAGATGGTGGCCCTGCTGTCCCATGCTGGGGGCTGCATGCTGTCCCCATGGTCCTGTGGGAGCTTTCCCAGCTCTGTGAAAAAGGCAAAGCTGGGCAGAAATAAAGCCTTATCTCCACGTCATGCACAGGGGAGGCCCAAAAGGAATAAGACCTTAGAGTCAGCCAGGGAGGAGGGCGATGTCAGGCAGGCCAGGAGCACCTACGTAACAGGGGGAGGAATGGAGGCCCATGGCTCAGAGACACAGCTGCTCCAGGGCTCTGGGAGTGCTCCAGTGATTGCTGGAGGGCAACGGGTTCCTTTGAAGGGTGGATAGCACAAAAGCAACCCCAACTCAATCCCTTGCTGCAAGGGCAAAGCTGAGCTCTAATATTCAGGAGAATATTGGTCATTTGAGCCGACTGTTTTTAATTTGGAAGCACTTCAAAAAGTGGCTTTTTAGGGTCCTGAAGAAGGACTTATGTGTCCAGAAGCTTGTCTAGTCTTCCCATCGCTAATCATCTAGTCTAACAAAAGATACTGTCTCTACAGAGAGACTTTGTTCTACCTATGCCCTTTGACCATGACAGTCACCACAAAACTACTTTGAGGTTGCTAGGGCATTTGGCGGGACATCAGTGGCACGAACGCTACAGAAGTCTGCAGCAGTCCCAGACCAGGAATAAGTATATTTAGAGACACCTTCACCTCACCATGGCACCAGGCCTTGTGTCCTCACCTCAGCAGGCTGATGGCATGAGCCCCACTAGGTGCTTGTGACTCGTTTGCATTTGCAGGGACTTGGGATGACTCAGACTCTTGCAGCACTGTAGGTCTGATAATGCCTGTGATGTCTCTGGCATGAGGCCCATCTTTCTTTTCCTTCTTTGAACTGCCTCTTGCCCAAGGAGTTGTGGCCTACAAGAAGGACTACTTCCTATTATTAATACAATAGCAAGAAATGGAAGAGCAGGCCCATTTGTAATGCAGAATCATTTACGGAGAAGACATGATCTCAGGCACACTGGATGTCAAAACCAAATGAGAAACTTTTCTTCTAGTTTTATCACAGTTTCTCCCAGAGCCACTGCTACTTGCATTCTGGAAATTTACAGGATGAAGGATTTTGTCATGATATCTAATTCTAATCTGAAGTGATTTACTGTTAAGTTGAAAATCAAGCCTGTACATATCCCCCTCCAAGTGGTTTCTATGACAGTTTCTATTAACCATAAAAATGTCACTTGCTAGGAAGTATCAGCCTCCTTATAGGCTTTGCAATCATCACTACCAGATGCACACTTACTGAATGGAATAAATAATAGTCTCGTACAATTAGCCTAGGATGCAGGACATATCTGGCTATCTCCCTTGGCTCCAAAGTGACGTTTTCACAAGCAAACCCATACATCAAGAGATGAGGTCTATCTGGATGCTCCGGAGTTCTTCAGAACTTGAAATGTTGTAATGCTTATGGATAAAGCATCGTGCTATATAAACTTAGGCTAATAGTTTTGGTGCATATCTTTGTGGTTTCAGTCTGTATAAGCAACTGAAATACCCATTTTCCATTGTTCTGATCCAGTAAAAAAAAGAAAAATGTGTCTATTTTGTGGCTTATAATGTATTTTGAAATGCACTAATGGCTCTGCAGCATTTCCTGCTGTTGCACAGTCACAGTAAACCTGGTACTGTGCAGATGCACCATATACACTTTGTCCCCATCCACCCTTCTGGGAAATGACATGCAGAGCCTTTCTTGAGACTGGGGTTATGGATGAGGGCTGCTGTCTGTGGGATGTGTTAGCAGTGTTGAGACACAGATTTGAGTTAATCTGGTCCTCAGGTATGAGCTGAAATGAGAGTTTGGGTTTGTGTCACAATCTGCCAGAGATCTTAGCCACTACACTCAAGGTCTCTGCTGTTGGCGGGGAAATCAAGAAATCAGCCTGAATAATGAAAATGACACCTAATTGGTCCCCACATTTTGAGCCATATTCTGAAGAGAAGTCATAAAGAAAGTTGTAACTTGGACCTTCATCGTTGTGTTTGCATCTGAAGGTCGAAATCCAGGCGACTGCAGAGCTGAAGTGGTGGATTTGGATTGCATGAGGCACGTTACCCTTGCAGCAGCAGGAGCCTTAGAGCCTTGCAGCAAAAGGAACAAGAAGCCTTATGGTTTTCCCCTGTCTACAAGGACAAAGCCATATTCTGCTCTTCTCTGCACCAATCTGACTACTGAAGTCAGTGAACTTTGACTTGTGTGTCAGGGAAAAAAAAAAATCACTGTGATAGAGTTTATAGCTGGCACAATGACTGGAGATACCAGCATGTCCTACAGAGGAACTGGATCCCTTGATGAAGTGAGTTTACAGACCCTGGGTAGATCTGAAAGAGCGAGGGGAGATATTTGGTCACATTTCTAGAGTAAGGAGAATGTGTATTTGTAAGCAGAAGCTCTGAGAGGGACACATGGGCTATGACTTCAAAGAAGGTTGTAACTATCCACCAGTTCCAAGAGAGTTATTCTGCTGTGAATGAGAGCAAATGTCGGCTCGCAAGGTGAGCACCATTGGTGCAGGGAGCTGTGTGTGGCTGTTGAGAATCATGCAGATGGCAGCTCCTGCACTGGGCAGTGCTCTTGGGAGCAGATAAGGTAGGCAACGGAAGGGTTTAGTTCCTTCTCTCCGCTTTGTCTGCTTTGCAAAGGCTGCTGTGAAAGTGGAAAGGGTTTAAAAATATCTGGAAGAATGATTTTCAGTCTGTCAAACCTGCTCTAGAAGAAGCTGAAGAAGCTCGTTCTACTAAGTTTAAGAAAGAAAATCTTGGAGTATGCCTTGACTTCAGAGCAGGTAGAGGGAAAGTATTTCTAATGCTAGAAGGCCCTTTGTCTTTTATCTACCAAGTGCGTATATATCCCAGAGCAAAAAGCCACTATGTGTCCCTCACGTATGGAATTTATAAAGATTTATAAATTAAAGTTACAATTACAGAATATTATTAAATATATAATTCTAAATACTGTTGTCAGAAGGAAAAGTGTCTGTGGTCTGTTTGTGACTGCAGAATCCATGATGAATACCTAGGATGTTCCTCTCCTGGAAACGCTGTTAATTGTTTTTTTCACATGATGAAATTGGTTTGAAGCAATTTCACTGTCCCTTGAAGTCTTGTGAAAACAGAAAGCAGATTACATTAGTATGAGAAAAGATGATTCTCACAGTTGTCTAAGAACCAAAAAGGCACATATATTCTTTAAAGTCTGCGGGATGAGACTCTTTTTTTTCACTACAGTGTTAACACATGCACCTTGGAGACTCTCATCTCAGCCAGCGTCTGAGCATGCTCTTGCATTTCATCCGATGGCTCAGGAGCAAAAGCACCGGCTTTTATTTGGCAACATGTAGCTCCAAAATCAATGTCAGCTAAGCATTTTCATTGCTAACAAGCTAAGCATATTCACAGATATTATTTGGACTAAAACTGGATAAATAGCACTGAATAACTCTGTTGAAGATAAATTCTCCAACCTGTGAACCTTATTCTCCGACTGGGAGAGATGAGAGAAAAGAAAAAAATAATTTTTGCATGTTTTCATCCCTGCTATCTACGGTGTGGCTCTTGAGTGTCAACCAGAAAAACAATGACTTGGTGAGGACTTTGTGTGGAAAGATTCAATTTAAAAAGTGGGATTTGCAGGTGACACTGAAAGAATACATCGTGTTTCCAAACTCCAGTCCAGTAAAAGCTTGGGAATTAGTTGAGCCAGGTAGTAAGTGACTTCTCCATACTTCAGAGTGATAGCAGGAACACGCATACATGCTGTGTACAAAGTCACTTGCTGAAAAAAATAAAGTTGAGCTAATATCTCTGAAAGGTGCCAGGCTGATAAAAATGGGAGGTCAAGACTTTCATCTGCAGAACTGGTGTGCCAAAGGTCCTGGCAGCCTGAAATTCTCTGCGTAGTGGAGAACTCAGTGACCAAGTTTTGTTTTAGTGTTTGCCTCCACGAGGAGAGAAGGGACAACTTGATACCAACTGGATGATCCCAGCTCACTTCATGACTGAAGCTTTACCATTATTATGTATTAGATTTTCCCATAACAAACAACGAACTGAAATTGAAATAAAGTATTGAAATTGCAGTAGAGGCTATACATGAATTTTAACTATGCCATAAACCATACTTTAGATGGCTATAATAATAAAAATGTTTGAGAGCCAAAGCGGCTGAAGATTTTGTCTTTTTCCAAAAAAATCCCAAACAACCCAAGTGTCACTCTTCACTTTTAAAACGAATGTGTTCATAGCACAGGTCTGTACAAACGGACTTAGCGCTGACTTTGTCCCTTTATGTTCAGTCCCCAGAGGAGCACGCAGAGGAAATCGGGAGTTGGTTGGCAAGGCAGCCCGCAGCACTTGTACTGGATCGGCCTGCTCGTGGAAAAGGATCCTTGTCTGAAGGTTCCCACTCCCGTCCCATTGACTTGATGGATCTCTGAGCACATCTGAGTGTTTGTACAGCACCTGACACAAACGGACCTCCATCCCGCTTCATTTATCAAATGATAAATAACATAGTAATACTATAATTGAAGTCACTCGCAGAGACAGTAATCATCCGGTGGTTCAGTAAAGCACAGACTTGCGGGGTGGAAGACTGCGCTAAGCTTATGCAGAGATTTCTATCTTGCCCATCACTTTCTGCACGCTAAATATATTCTGAATTTACGAATGTTGAAGTTTTAAGGTGAGATTTTCTATGCTTGGGCTAAACCCAGAAGTGATTCATTTTCGTAATGCCAGAACAAAACCGTTCAGCCACTTCTGAATTATGTGAGACGGAAAGACAAGGTATTGATAACGTTGCTATTAACAGCCGAATCAAGACTCCCTGACAGCACATATAATAATATTTTTTTATTTATTGAGCAAGGAACAGCAATACAGGGGGAGGTGGAAGACAGGAAACTTCAGAGAGTTTATGCCTGCCAGTGAGGAACACCTGATCCAGAAATCAGGCTCTGGCGCTGTGCAGAGCAGGGAAAGTATGCTTGAATTGATACCTAAGACCTGGCTGATACATACCTCATAGTTAATCTGGTTATGCGGGGTTTATTTCACAGTCGGAAGTTCTTGCGCTGGAAGGGAGTCCTGCTGGGGTTTTCTGAGCACACGAATGAATTAATGAATGAACCAATGCAGCTTGCCAGCCCAAATTTAAACTGCTTGCTAGATCAAAATCTGCTCATTTTGCCTTTTGCCTGTCTTTTTTTTTTTTTTTTTTTTTTTTTTTCCCCACCCACTCCGTCTTTTATTTATTAATTATTTGAGAAAACAGATAAAGAGCACGGAAAGTCCCTGCGGGCATCATCAAGACAGCAAACGCAGATAGATGGCTGTTTTTCCACGCTGGCCTGAATCCTGAAACCTAGACTTTGAGCCACGGTCCTGGGTGGGGAGGTCCCCGGCAGAGGCTGGTGGGTGGCCGGTGCCGGCCGTGGGCCGGGGGGGGGGCGAGGAGCCGCCACCGACAACCCTTGTCTGCAGGTCTTCCAGTGGGTCTTCCTTCAGTGCCCAGGAGGGCATTAAAACAGGGAACCCCCGCTTTGAACAGACAAGAAAAAATAAACCCGGGCTGCTTTTCAGGGAGGGTCGCGTCGCTTCTGTCTTTCAGATCCACGCTGCCTTTGGTATTAGCCCGTTGTCAGACTTTAATGGGCACTTGCAAACAGGATCTCTGGAATATTTTGATTTATTTGGCCACTGGGCAGACCTCCAGCCTGCCGTCTTGGCCGCCGCGTTTGTATTTCAATAGGAGTTTTAAGAAGGCTCGGCTAAGGGTATTTAAGGTAGTCCCTGAGCTTTCATGCAGGCTTTCTCAGCCCCGAGTGAAAACACAGCAGCGAAGAGATGCGGCGGCGGGTTTTTAAGAAGCGGGGACGCTGTGACGTGCCAGCACCGATGACCCCCCCCCCCCCCGCCCCCCGAAGCCCCCCTCCGATCACCGAGCTCCTCTCGCACCGTCGCGGCTCCATTTCGCGTCGCGGCGTCCGGGCTCCTTAACGCGGGGCCGGGCCGGGCCGGGCCGGGCTGCCGGCAGCGCTCGGCGGCCGGGGCCGGGCTCCGGGGGGAAGGACGGACGGCTGCTCACCCCCATCGCGCTCCCCAGCAAGGCCAGACGTCTCTCCCGTCACCCCTTCCCCTCTCCCCGCCGCTCCCCCCCCGGCACTGGGGTGCGCTGCCAGGAGGTAACGCGTGGGTGCTGGGGAGCTGGCGGCGGCGAGACCCGGACCCCCGAGCAGAGGGGATGGGAGGCAAATGTCGCTCGTTCAAGGCGAAGAGCAGTGGTGGCGTGAAGGAAAAGCAGCCTGTGCTCTGCGCCGAAGCCTGGAGACCTTCCCGAAGATTCACTGCCGTTCCGTTTTTGTTTTTTTTTGTTTTTTTTTTTTTTTTATGGCGTCTTAGATACGCATTTTAGAGCTCGTGGAAAGAAGAGGCTGATAAGCAAGACAGAATTCTGCCAACGCATCCAGGTATCCGGAGCTGCACTGCCCTGGCTCTCCCTCCCCTTCCTCTCCCTGCGCTGCCGACAGCCCGAGCAGGGATGGATAGCTGTGCTGCCTGGTGCCGTGGAAGCACGCAGGCATCTGCTACTGCAACGTTGACCAGGTTTCCTTTCCTCAGCTAGAGACTCTACTGCGAATTTTAATCCAGCTCTTTGGAAGCGCAAGCCTGGTGTGCAAGCACTCTGCCTGCTGCTGGCTTAACCCTGCCTGTTTGGAGCCCGACCCCTGAGGAGGATGAGGCAGGGTCAGCACCGAGGCGCACTTCTGCTACTCGCCGTCCCAAAGGGAGCTGAGGCACTTCAGAAATTAAAAGCTGCTTTGACCTGAGCGATTCAGCACCCTAGTCAAGCGAGGAGCCAAAGAAGTTTGGCCTTTTAAGGGGTCGCGGTGGTCACCTACCTCATGCACTCTGGGAAGCTGTTTGGTCGCTGAATACCAAACTGGGGAACAGTCCCAGGCTCCCCAGCCGCGACCTGGAAGCGACTAAAACAGGGAGGTCCATGGTGGATGATTTTAAGAGGCACCTCAGCATGTCAGTAAGATCTACAGTCGTTTGGTTGGAGGTTTCATCAAGTCCCCTGTGTCGGCAGGAGGCCCCTCGGAGCCAGCGAGCTGTGTGCGGCTGCCCTCCTTCCTCACCTGCCTCTCCCCGTGGGGCAGGCAGAGGGGCACACACCGGGAAGAAGGGAAGCTCGAGGCCCCACGGCAAGCTTGAGCTGCTCTGCTTGGCGTCCCCACACCTACGTACCCCTCCTACAGCAACCAGCTGCCCTGAGAGGAGAAGGTGTGATCTCAGCGCATTGCACGGATCCACGCAGAAGGCTGGGGGGCACGAGGATAAATATCAAGGCACCTGGGAAAAGGCTTGCCTGGGCGATGAAATGATTGTGAAGTGGTACATTAATTCAGGAGGAAGGATTCAAAAAGCAGCCCGTCGTAACTTCAAACTTCACCAGCTTGCTGTACCAAGCATCCCTTGAAATGCTAATTAAAACGAGCTGAGGGAGAGGAGCCTGCTAACAGGATCACAGCCTCGCTTGGATTGAGTAATAAACATGTAGTAGGCATCCGTGTTTCCCTGTATGCATGCTTTCCAAGCTGAGCTGACTGTAAATGTTGCGGTTATGTGAAGCCCACACAGAGTAGGATGCAAACACAAACTAGAAAGAGAGGCAAGGCCTAGTCACCAAGCTGGAAGAGAAAAAAACACGACAGTCTTCCACAAATAAATAAATAACTGCCTGAAATGAGGGCTAATTAACTTGCAATAAACCAACTTAACCACTTAGGGGCAGCGTTAACACAGAGTTAACATGCAAAACAAACCTGTATTTTCTCACCTGGTTAATTTGATATGCAAGGTGAATATTCATAGTGTATGAAATCCTGATACATCAACACACCAAATGATGCAGTCTGTCAAACCCGCGAATGTGTGGCAATAGGAGTAACTCAGTTGCTGCTCACACGGTGTTGACTTTGATCAGTTGGTGTTTCTAAACACATTCATAGAGGCAGGACTTTGCTGCTTTTCCTCTGTCAGGGTCATGGAGTATGTTCTATACAAAGATTAAACCCTAAAAAAGGAGATGAAAAAGGGCTTCACTTAAAATAAACAGAAGATGAAATGGAAAAAAAAGCTGTCTTTGAGAAATGCTGCTCTTGCATGCAGGAGCTGAAAACCCCATTTTATCTCCACAGCCACATTCAGAGTCACTTTGCTTTCAGATAATATGTTCCTTTCTCTACCTCGCATTCAAAAAAGTCCCCGTTCCTTGGATTCCTGTGAAACATTTCCTTGCATAAAAAGGAGCTCAGACCCGCTTCAGGTATGTTTACACTCCCTGATCAGAACAAGTAAATAAAGGAAAGGTGGTTGTTTTAGTGTGGTTTGACTAACTTGAGTCAGCTTCAGCAGGCAAAGGCAGCAGGAAAAACACAATAGCCTGGTTTTATTTTTATTTTCGTTTTTTTTTTTTTTTAAGGAGGGTTAGCGGCTTGAATTCAGATTCGGGTAAAACTCATCTCACTGCTCTTTTAACCTGACTTACGAAAAGCACAACCTTCCCCATCCTATTCCTGCCCCTCCCCCGCTGACACACCGGCATCTTTATGGCTGATGCATGGCTTGCCAGTGTCCCGGCATCATCTCGATGGCTGGTACTCCCGCTGCTCCAGCCCGGCCAGTGCTCCCCCCCACCACCCCCGGCAGCAAGTGCCAGACCCACGCACCCCCAGGCCACTCAGCAGGAGGAATACGGTTCGGATCGGCTGCAGGCGTGTGCTCGCATTTCTGCTGAATGAGCCAGAGCACACGGCGGGGAACGTATGCTGGCTTTAAGCTCTGTGCTGGCCGAGGGACGACAGACGATACCTGATCTGGCATAAAGTGAGCTTGGTGCGGAGAAAAGATATTGAACATGGCACAGAGTTAAAGTGGGGCGGGTAAACAATATCTGATCTGGCAGAAGAAGCTGCTGGTACAAAGTTGGCCTGTCAGAACCATTAAAATAAATTCAAACCAGAGGAGTGAGTGCCATGTGGCCAAAGTGGTTTTGCTGGGGTATCAGGGAGCCCAGAGCCAGATTCACTGTGCTGTCAAACTCTGTGCTCGGGAAAGTGTTGGAAAACGTGCCCAGCCTCGCTGGCATGCCTCTCCAAGGAACAACACCGGGGCAGACGGGGAGGTGAAGGGCCAGGGATGTTCGGTGTTGTAGATACGGACCTTGTCCAGCGTTACCCAGGCCCCAGCAGCTATTGCAAAGCGGATCCTGCCCCAGCAAAGGGCTTCCCCTGGGGCGGGAGGTGGTGCTGGGCTTGCTGTGCTGGGGCCAGGCTGGCAGGGAGGCTGAGATGGAGGACGAGAGGGACGTGTAACATCACTGCCAGCACCTCTTCTGGTGGGGGGGGGGAGGGGGTGTGTGTGTCAGGCTCCAGAGCAGTTGCCCTGCCAAAAGCATTAAACTGACTGAAATACAGTCCCACGAGGAAAGGAAGCAAGTGAGCTGTCAGAAGTGAGAGAGAAATGATGAGCCCACTGTACAGCATCATCCGCAGACCACCCTTCTCCACCAAAGTGGTATTTCTCCTTTTACTTGTCTGAAGTGGATGAAGAAAGTTGATGTTTAGGCATTTGGTTCCTTTGCTTATAAAATTTGAGTGTTGACCCCGTCTTTTCTTCCAGGATGGCCAGCACAGCCCGGGGAGATTTGGTCCCACAGCTCCTAGGAACTGGAAGGAGAATGGCAGGGCTGAGTCGTCATGCATTATGCTGAATATTTACCCCTCATGCATGCTATTTTATTTTAAATCTAGCGTGTAATATGCTTTGCATCTAGCGTGTTGCTCTTGTGTGTTTTTCCCTTGCCCTGACTGTCTCTTGCTGGCAGCTGCCATCGCAAAACAAAAGGCAGCTGCCAGTTTGAGTGAACATCTCTCTCTCTCGCTCACTCTTTCCCCTCTTGCTCTTGGAGCTGATGCAACACCACTTCACAGGCTGGGTAGCAGGCACTGAAGCAAGAGGGGTTTGCTGCCCTTGGGGTGCTTGGGCATGCAGTGCCTCCGAGATTCGCTGCCAGAGCTCAAAGCCGTGTTCAAGCTCTTGAACCTGGCTCAGCTGTAGCCAAGAGACTATCAGCTGTCTCCCTGCCAGCATACCAGCTCAAGCTTTCTCCGTTGCAGCAATTGCCCATTTCACAGGATTTCATGCTGCTGCTTTTGGCAAAGGTGATGGTTTATTAAATATCACTTTGGTCTTCTGCCCCAGGATGTGTAGTCAAACGCAGGGATCTCCTGCTCCACACAGGTGGTATTCCTACATCAGCTGAAAAAAAAAACCTGAAAAAAGCAGGACTGAACTGAAACGATACTTGGAAGAAGAAACTTTCTTGTGTCAAATAAAAGTACCATGGGGAGAAAGTGGGATGAGATGCCAGGACCTAGACCCTCAGGCCAGCTGTGAGCCTCGGCTGCTGCTGTTCTTTGGCCAGTGGGAATGCGCAAAGTGCGAGCTGCCTCACATGTTGACGGAGCGCATCTGAAACTCACTCAGGATAGTTATCCCTTGGCTCCTTTTAAGACTGGCTAACTCCATGTTCTAGGATACTCGAGGCCATCAGGGGGGCCAGTTCAGCTGCTTTTTCCAGAGCTGGAAAATATGGAAGAGACGTTTCTGCTTTTCTTGGGGAGCCTTTAACCTGAGCTATAATGAGAACTTGCTTTGGGAAAACAAGTTGAACTCTTGACTGCTGCAAATAGCCATGGGCTGGGTAAAGCCTCTGAGAAGGGAGTGTTTCCTGTGGGGAGAGGGGCAGAAATGAAGTTTGCTGGAGCTGCGGTCACTGGCACATCCATGTATTTGCTTATCTCTCTGGGCTGTGGTGACGGGGCTGGGGAAGAGGTGAGGCACACGGGGCAGAAACCAAGCAGGACCCCGAAAGATAGCATAACAGGAAAAAGCTAAGTAAATGCAAGCCTCAGTTCCAATCAGGAAAGTTAGGAAATGAGATCTGAAACACCCTCTTGGGAGTCTGGTGTGTGCTGAAGAAGAATACTGAAATAAATTCTTATGCAAGCTGTATCACTGATTGTCAGAGAAACTGAGCCCTCACTTCTTTCCTTTGTGGCAATTTTCTTTCAGACAGCTCCTGTTTTGTTTTTCCATAATAGAAATGGGTATCCTCATGTCATTCACTGTAAACATTTTTACTGAAATTATGTGAATATGGATTTGTTCTGAGGGACAGGTTGGAAAGATCCTGCCTTGCCCGGTTTGCCTGATAATAAAGTCCAAAAAGCAGACATTGTTTTCCTAAAGCATGAGCTGAGTGAGGAAAAGAAGCTGCAGAGGACAGGTCTGGAGTCCCTGAGGAACTGTCAGGGCAGGGGAGAAATCACAAATGCAGGTGAGGACGTTGTGCTTTTTAGAAACAAAAAGCAAGCTATGCTTCCCAAGCAAAGACTATTTCCTCTAGATTAAGGAGGGTTGCAAATAAACAAAGCATAGAAGTTTATTGCCATGAGCAAGCAAGGGCATCTTGCATTGCTTCCCAGTGCTGACTTGCCTCTCGGATAGGCAGGCAGGCTCCTTGCACTGAAGGGGTGCACTGCAGGAAAACAGAGAGGCATGAACCCTTCTGCTTGAGCTGTCATAATCCCCCTCACCTAAACTCCTGGATTGAGTCCACAGATTTTCTCTGGTTCCAAAAGCTACACAGAAAGCACAGTTTATGGAAATGTTTCCAGTTTGATTTATCTAAGCCACCCGCTAGTAAGTGGATTGTGAAGAAGCAGCAGCATAAATTAATGGCTGGATGCCTTCAGGCTGCACTGTGGCTCCCGTGATCTCATGCTCCGTTTTCCCAAAGTTGTGCTGCGAGGTCTTCGATGAGTCCCACTGCAGGGATCTCTGTTGCTGCGATGGAACATGGGGCTCAGAGGGGCTCTAACCTACACACCCATTCTAGGATAGGCGAAGCATGGTCCTGCTCTGAAAACCTACGTATTTATTTTAACTCCTGCAACACTGATGAGTTAACAGAGCTACAACAGACAGAGTGAACGAGGCAGATGCTTTCCCTTTGCCACGATCTGCACAAGCAAGCCAGGGCCGACCGCTGGGCCAAATCCTGCTCCTGAATGTCCATCCTTTGACATTGCTTCGGATTATTCCTGCCAGCTAAGGAGCTTTTCCCGATCTAGGTATTTTCTTAATAGCCTACCCTCTTCGGGGAGCCCTGTTCAGCAGCAGCCCTGCGTGCTCGCTGCTCCATGTCCCCCGTGCCGTGGGGTCAGGCTGCTGCTGCCCGTGCTGGGGGGCCCAGCTGGGCAGGATCTAGAAAAGGGATCTGGCCTCTGCGCTTCTTCCTTCCTTCCTGCCGGAGGGCAGCCTGCAGCAGTCCCTTACGGTGTGGGCAGGGCTCCCCAAGCCAGACCTGCCGGCACCTCCAGCTCTTCTCTGCTTTGGCTTCAGGCCCGCCCGTGGCTCCAGTCCCCCTTCCCCAGGCGCAGCTCCCTTCTCCAGCGCAAATTACACTGCTGAAGTGGCCTGCCCCTTTGCTTGAGGGATAATAATAGAAAGGATTCTAAAACATTCTTCATAAAAGATAAAAAAAAAAAATTCTGCTTGCCTGGCTCTTTCCTTTAAATTTTCCACCCAGATTTTCTGTAAGCCTGCCTCATCTACCTTGCTGTCTCTGGTCTCTGGTCAGCCAGTCCCCCCCCAGCTGATGGCCATTCACAAGGCGGCAGCAGCAAGGAAACATGCTGTCTTCTGCTGTGGGTCTCTGTCTGGGACACCTCAGCTATTGCACCTCTGCCTCACGGTCACTCTGGTTTCCCTTCCAAGACCCTTTGTCCTGGTTGCTCTACAAAAGGGACTCCTCAGCCCCTTCTTCTTTCTTAATATCTGTTCCCTGCCTGCTGGCATGCTGCCCATGCCTCCCTTGCCAGTCTGGGGTTTCTGCCACCCTGTCCTCCTGGTGCACACTCTGTCACCTTGGGCACATGGGCACAGGCAAAGAGCCGTCCCCAGGCCCCTAAACCAGGCTGCCTCATCCTGTGGTGCAATGATCTCAGGGATGGTCTCGGGCATCAGGGATCATGAGGATCTGAGGGCTGGTCTCACAGAGGGTGAGGGAAGGTGGCCTGTGGGCTCTGGCACACTGGGGTGGACACAGATCCTCTAAGTCTTCACCTTCCCCTATCCTGGACCTCTCCCATCCTGGAGAGAGATGCTGTTGAAAAAGAGAAGATCAAGGCCTCCTGCCTCCCTCTCCTGCTGATATTCCTTGCTCAGTGAGAAAGTAGCTTATGTATGACTGATTCCCCCTGTGAAAGGGAGAGAAAAATCACTCACAGCACTCAAACAAAGTGTCAGGAGTGACAATGAGGATGAATCAGACTTCCACCTCCTAAAACAATTCAGTAGTCTTTCCCTTGCTGTGGCATGAACCATGAAAAAAAAATTTTCTTCTACAACCCTTTTACCTGCCACTTCTTCAGCTGAAACTAAGGTGTGTAACCGACAGTGTAGAAATAGCATCTGCTGACCTCCATCCTGTGGAACGCTTTCCAGTGGTAACATGCCAAGAGAGGATGTGTGTGCCACTGCAGAGTCCCAGCTTGCCCTCCTGTCCCCAGTCGTGTTCTCAGGCTACTGGGAGTGATGCAGGGACGTTGGGACCCGCTCTTTGTTAAGCTCTCTGTCCTGGAGGAACTGGCAAATCATGCTACCTTCACACTGAGATGCTTTCTGCTGCCCAGCCCCAAACAGCCACTCCATTTGCCAGGGTTTAGGCCTGGGGCTCAGTCTGAAGCTTTGAGGCCAGATCCTCCCCTCCAGGTCCCCCTTCCTCCCCCCACATCAACTCTCATGCCTTACTCTTCAGTGTTTTCAGCTTTGAACCAAGGCAAGCCAGGGGCAGACCTTAAATTTACATTCAATCTCAGGCAGAAGGATTGGAGATAATTGCAAGTTCTGAGGACCCCAAGCATTGGAGAGGACAACAGAAAATGCCAATTGCCTTAATGCTGGAGGAAATCCAGACTGTCTGCATTTGTACTGGGGGTGACCTCATCCAGCCACACCAGCAGGGTAATTCCAAACTCTCCTTCCCATTCCCACATTGATGTTCCTTCCAGAGACTGGGGTGGACTATATCCTGAGTTGTGCAGCTGGGTAAGGTCCAGGTACACAGTGAGATGTAAAAACCTCGCTAGCAAGCCAACAAGAGCAGACATAGTACAGGGCACTTGGGACTCCTGAGTTATGGGGGTCTGGACCACATAACTAGGACAGGTTCACTTCTGAAAGGTCCCAGCAATGGGCACCTTTCCTGGGAGGCTTAGAGTTTACAGCGACAACATGCTGTCGCATGGAAATGATCTGCAGTGGGCTGTGATGACACAGTCCCCCCAGAAACAGAGTGACAGTGAAGAAACCAAGTCTCAGCCATCTGTAAATCTGAGCAAAGCATGGAAATCCCCTCTTTTTCCTCCCAGTAAAAGGCTCTCTGGTGTGGGGATGAGGAAGACTGAGCTGGCACACTGTTGAGGCCTCCCTTTTAAGATACCCTATAACATCCCTTTTCTCGTGTCTCCCCCTGAACTGTCAGAACTGCCTGCCTCTTGGAAATGCACTGCGATGCCAAATTTCAAGAGCCATCTTGACAGTGTTACGTGCACGTCATCCCTCAAAAAGGAAAGTAGAAAGTGGGGGGACGTCGAGGGCTAAGATACAAGCACCCTGTGCACGTGTGGTGCAGGAAGACAATAGGCGGTCGAAGCCTGCTCTCCCTGAGCTGGGCTCACTCTCTGCACAGCCTGGCCAAGTCGGGAGCCCTGCTTGGCACGGCCTGACCTCTCAACGATTTCGGCCTCAGTAAAGACTCGGCATCTGACCCCGTGAATTTTTCTTTAAGAAGATGAGAGGGGAGAAAATACCCACAAAGCCTCCTATAAAAAGCCAAACTTCCCAAGCCAAAGCCAATAAAAAGCTTCCCAGCTGTTCCCCCTCCTCCAAGCCGGCACGGGCTCTGCAGGCAACAAAACCCTTCCAGCAGCCGGGGAGCCTGCGGGGTGCCGGTGGCCACAGGATGGGGGCAGAGACCCAAGGCGAGGGGCCCCCCGCGGGTGTCCCGTCTGGAAAGCCGGGGCCCGGGGAAGCACGAGGTGCCTGGCAGAGGTCTGACTCAGCGGGAGGCAGCGGTTTGTGTAACCTCCAGCAATCCATTATTACAAAGGGGCTTTCAGGAACTCCTCCTTGCCAGGCACAGCGAGGGTTATTGATTGAGGAGACAGTGTAAATGCACAGAGAGGCTCCATCCATTAGGACCGCTGCTCTCCACCAATTAGAAAAAAATCATTACTCAGCAGCCATCAATGGGCTCTGCACAGCGCTGGAGTGCATGCATTCAATCTATCTTCTCCCACCTCCCTGAAAACTTAATGACAACTATTAGAGCTCCGCTGAATGCCCGGTGTGTACAGAAGCAAAAGATTCATTTGGTAATCTTAGTAATTACGACGCCATAGGAGGACGCATGCTAAATTCAAACAAGGGTGTGAGGAGGGGGGGGGCGGGGGGAAGAGCCTGAATTCCTGTGTTGTGAAAGCCCTTGTTGTGCTCAGACTCCCGTCCCTTCCCACTCACCTGCCGCCCCCCTCCCTTCCTCCCACGGCCTCTCGGGTGGGCTTTCTGGGCTGGCTTTTCCGCTTTTTTCCCCCCTCCCCACAAGGGAAAAATAATTTTGTGAAAGTAAATTGAAGTGGGGCGACTTGGGAAATATTCGAGACCTCTGGATGAGGCACAAGCCTGGCAACACTGTTTGACAGCACTGCCCTGAGCAATCAAGGAGGCGAATTCCCATTTATGAAAGCCCGTAGAACCTCTCTGGAGCCCCGCTGGCATAACACACGCTGGGTGCAATTTATTTACTCTGCCACAGCCCTCTCCTTCCCCCCTCCCCTCCACCACCCAGCCTTTTCATTTACGCACGGCAGGATTGAGGCTGAGTGAGACCCTCGTCTCCCTCCTTGCTGATGCACGTTACTCCAACTTACAGGGAAAGCAAAGTCCCAGGACAGCATTTTTGGAAGAGCTCAAGGATGGCTGCAACATGTCACTGAAGTCGAAAAGAGCATTTACTTATAAGCGACGCACGGTGCTTTTCGCAGGCCTCCTCTTCTTCAATTTGGGAAAAGGTAAGTCATCACTATATGAGGGGCGCTGACACTGTTCATCAGCAGCAAGAGCCTGGAGACTGCTGTCGGTCATGCTGGTGTTCAACACCGCACCTCCC